CTAAAAATGCTATTAATGAATGGAAGAAAATACTAGTATATGCTATTCACAAATAGCTTCCTCTTACTTTTTAAAAACTATATATTATTGTAATTAGTGTTAAATCCTATATTAGCACTTTCTGAGAATTAATCAATTTTTAAGAACATTATTAAAATATGTTCTTGACAAATTTTTTTGATATTAAAACTTTTCTATGCATATAAAATTTTTAGCGAATATTAAAAGACACTTTGAAATATACAGTAAAATCAAATTTGAATTTAAACACTAGTCGCAATAAAAATATAAAATCATAGATAGCGAATAAAGAATTAAAATACTAATCACTTAGATATTAGCACTCTAAAAATTTTTTTATTAACTTCACATTTTACTTTTCAAATAATAACAGTATCCTATTATTACTTCACAAATATTTGTAGTCAATTAAATACATACATATAAATCTTATATATATTTTAATTTTGGTTGTTAAAGTGAATTGATATCTCTTATTAGATTAGGATGTATTTGAGCAGTTTATAAAATACATAATACAGTATAATTCTATCTCCCTCAAGATAAAATTATTTCTATAAATATAAAGAAATGATATAAACTGATCATATATATAAAATTATAAGCACACTCTAAATAACTATGAAAAAATAACTTTTTTGAAAATTAATTACTTTAATATGAGTACTATAGTATCAAGACCAACATAAATTGTAGTATATATAGAATGAATTGAGACGCTCATGAATTCGTAAGAAGGGTCTGTGTCTATTAAACAATATTTAGATATATTAATTATAAGATTTTAAGTATATATGTTAGTATATAAGAAATAAACCAACATCGGCTAGATTTACTTCATCTAAAATAATGTTCAAGACAAAAATTATAACTACTTTTGTTTTGAAAAATTAATTGGAATTAATTACCTTTCATAATATTAAGAACCATCTTGTAATAGAGACTGAGTTAATAAAATTATTATATAATAAATAATATGCCTTCAATCAAATTATTAATTAAAAATATTCGAACAACTAAGCTTACTTTATTTTTCTTCTTACTGGAAAATTCTCATGAAAATTATTCTATGAAACTTTTTAGTTTTGTCAAAAAGGAACCATAAGCCATGAATGAGTAATAAGTTAGTTCATTCTAGAACAAACATAAATTATAGATAATGACTTTAAATTAGCTTGTGAAAATAAAGTAACTCAAAATTTTTGTTTGGTTAAAATAAATATATCTATTTCACTTTGCCTATAATATAAGTTCAAAAATTCAAAGTTAGCAGGATTATAAATAATAATACTTAGTTGACTTAGTAAAGATTGAAATCACTGATTTAATTAGATAAGTATTTACCTGAATAATTGCCAAATTTACGTAGTTTTATAAAATCAACAGATAAAAAAAAAAGGGTGACAGGTAGAAAATTTTATATAGCTGATTTTTTAGAATCGTTAATATTTATCATCATAACTTTGAAAAGAGTTGTATCTTTAGAAGATTGAGTAAATGATAATATCTTCAAAGACTATATATACATCCACCACAATTAAATATGTTAATACTAGCGTAAATATCTTCATTAAGATGTAAACCCTTTTGAGCTTTAGATATACCTATTCAAATTGTATAAAGTTAATAGTATTGAAACAATCAATATAAATAATCAATATAAAAATAATCAACATAAAAATAATTAATCTATTGATGATGAATTGGGTATTACTTTTGGTGATTTATAATTGTTAACTATAAATCTGTCAATCTAGTTAACTGTAAATCTGTTAATCCAATAAGTAGCTTATAACAGTATTTGTAGTTAAATTATACTTAAAAGTAAGGAAATATATAGAAATATAGTATATTCTATATATTTTAATATTCTTAAGTTGATGATAAGTTAATTACAAATAAACTAATAATACTACTCACAAAAAGAATAACTTGCCTAACTTAGTTGTTCGAACATAACTATTACTATAATATTAGTCTTGTACTAATACATAATCAAGCATAGTTTTTTAAATTAATCACCTTTTTTATCTACAAAGTAATATTAAAAAGATATTAATATTAAGTGTTAAAACTTTTAAATTCATCTCTGAGTATACTCACGTTTCATAATATGAATTTGTATTTGGACTAGTAAAGAAGCTTTTTTCTAAATTGAATTGTATTTTAATATATCCAAAAGTAACATGATATCTATCAAAATCTTTTATTGTTTCTTGAAACCAATCTACTACAAATTCTGGTTGCTCTGCTGTGTTTCTTTCTAAAGTTATGACAGAAGAAGGGCCTTCATTATTGATAGTATCTTGATTTTTTTTTAAGTGCTTTTTTGGCTGCTTTTTTTGCAATTAGAGCATCTAATACTAGAACTGAATCTTTAGTATTCATTTGGATAAATAATACAATGTAAGAAATCTAATTACACTTATAATATCGAACACCCCAACATTGGTCACCCAATAATGAACTGAGAGTTTGATATGTATTGTAGCCTAAAAAAACACACCTATACACTTTTTTATTAACAAATACATGTATCAAATATTGCTTGAAAAGCCCCAAATATTGACCCTCCATACATGGAAATTTGACTACTTGTTTTCTAGTTTTTTAAAAAGTAAGAGGAAGCTATTTGTGAATAGCATATACTAGTATTTTCTTCCATTCATTAATAGCATTTTTAG